TTTCCGTTGGGATGTGTCAGGGGGCGTAGGCTGGGTTTGTCCCAGCTGGGTTTGTCCCCGCGCCAGCACGTTTTACATCAATTGTTATCGTTTGCTCGCTTGAACAATGCTGGGTTTGTGGCCTGTCTTCCACCAATTATTGTTGCCTGCTCGTTTAAACGGTTGATGGAGAACGGGTTGGCACCGCGCCAATTCCAGCTTCCCTGACACGCCCCAGCATCCGTAGCGAACAAGAGTGTAGGCCTGAAGTAGCGCGGTGTCGATTAGATACTTCGAGATGTGCCCTAGACTTTGATATGACACCCACTGATATTTGAACACTCTGTAAGCCGCACCTGTTCTGCGGACATTGGTCAGATTTGCGCATCTGCCCTTCCAGAGCGGTGGCACCGGTTTGCCTTGGTATGGGTCATGTCTTTACGTATGCCAAGTCCACCAAAGTAACTGGATCTACCCTCTTTCTACGAAGAGCAGCGTTTTCTTCAAAGCATACAGTTGCTTGAGTAGATATGACTTTCAATGGCTACCCTGAAATAACCTTTGTGCAGGTTATCCGATTTCAAAGTAATGGTGAGTTTAATCGGCTGTTACTGTGAGTTAGATCAGTTTAGAAATAGGATAGAACAGCACGAGTTTGGAGTCATTCAGTAAACCTTTGTGCCCTTATGTATTTCATTCAGATGGACGCACTTGTTGAGCTTACTCGAACAACGTCGCAAGGCGCTGATGAGCTTGAATGACTTAATGACCCTTCTGAGAGACATTGATACTCTATCTAGTGAGCTGAAGCATCTAGAGGTAAGAATTGTATAGGAAATGGTGTAATAATTGTGTACCCTCGAATCGTTCTCCTTTTAGCCAGTCGTTCGTAATCGTGATGTAGGCAAACATCTACTAGGTGTAGAAGATTTACTTGGCAAGCATGAACTCATTGAAGCTCAGGTGCGTTAAGTTTGAAAAGTTTTGTTACTTTCAAACAAATTCTTAGCCTTGTGCTGCTTGCGGTTTTTAGCGCTGTTCGGCTTGGGAGGGGCATTTTGCACTTTCGCTGATTCCTATTGCTAGTTTCTGTGCAATTACGCGTCACACCTTGGTAAGACCTGTAGACACTTGTCAAATGTGAGTAAAGCTCATGCTACTGTTGGCAGCGTTCGGGCTCCGCGAGCGTCGAACGCGCGACCGAAGCGCTGCCGTCGCGGAGTCTGAACGCTGCCGTATAGTTTTACAGGATTTCACATGTCCCCTTGATAGGCGTCACCAGTGATCGATAATAGTCAGCAAATTGCCCCCACCAAACCCAACTGTGCTAAAAGTGTTGTTACTTTTGAACAAAGTCTTCTTTTCACGTTGTCGCTGATGTTTTTTCGCTGCAGTTGACCCTTTGGCAAAGCCGCTGCAATCTAGCTAGCATTTTCGCTAGTTGACTTCGCACAATACAGTGATCTCAGTTGCAAACAAACATGATTCGCTGAGTGCGCGATGCCACGCAACGGTGTGTGCGGCTTGCGCACCCCTCTTGCCCGCAACGCGATTTTGTTATCACCCCCCCGCCCCGTTGAGACGGTGTGACTCAGGGGTAAACTACAGGGACTCGCACTGGAGCATCCGGCCGCCTTGCGAGCTGATGAGCGCCTTCTGTCGCGCCATCTTGGCGTTCTTCGGCTCTGGAGCATCATAATCAACCACCGCCGGCGACCAGCGAGTAGCATCTTAAGTTGACTACTATGAACTCAACATGGGAATATCACCACACTATACTCACAAAAGCATCGAATCTTGTACAATAATGTTTATGATGTGGCGTCTCCCACTAAATTTGCGTTGAACTGGAGGTAAAGTCGAGTAAGGAGGAACAAACGTCTCCTTATCATGTTTAGGCGCCTCGCCCATCAATATGGGGACATTTCCTCTGAAGTGTACCCGCTTTCCTGAACTAAGGCATTCTGCGGCTTCGAAATGGCTTCTTCAGAGAAGCAGTGTGAGAAAACACGCTTCTGTACACTTCATCAATGTCGTAGCAATTCAATCAATTCACGTTCATTTTGCGGGTCCTGCAATTACATGCCTTATTAGAATGTGGCATTTTGTGAGTTATACAGTGCTCCTTCAGCAATGCGAAGCAAACGGCACCTTTATACGCAACGCTTCTCACAGAGTACCCTATCTGGGGAAACGGCGACAGGGAAATGGATCTGGTTGTTTCAGATAATTCCCGGTTGTATCAGTGGAACCGTTCTGTGTTGAAGCCACCTGTGGCAGCTTTTGATTGCTCATCAAAGGTGTGGTTTGAGTAGGACCAAGCGGCGAGACTTTCTACATTCCTTACAGTGATTGACATCTGAAAAAAAGATTACACACAATGGAGACCAAAAGGGTTTTCGCTCTTGAATGGGTGATGTATACATTATAACAACGAGCACTGTGCAAGTCATGTAAAGCGATTCAAGTTGAAACATCTGTTTTGCTTCCTTTGAGCTTCGTCAGGTGCGCGCCTGATCTTCGATTATGCAAAATACGACCGCTTTCATACTTCGCGGTTGTGCGACCGTATGAGCGCGCGCAGCATCTTCAGGGTAATCGTGCCGGAAGCCACGCC